TAAGTTTAAGTCAATTTGGTGGAGATTTTGTAGTAGATTTTAAAAATTTGGGTTGAAATAAGTTGAACTAGAGAAGAAGACAAATATGTGTTGTATACCCAAATAGTATATAAATATACCATTTTGGTATACATTTCATTACAACATATACTATTACAGTAAACAATATGATATAATAGTACATAGTTATAATTTGGTTCTTTTTAAGCTTTTCCATTGGGTCCTTTTTTAAAATTTTCAATAGATTTCTCATGGGTTTCCAAATAATTTCTTAAGCCAAAATTTAGTTTGAATATTGATTGGAGGTTGTGGATGAAGTTTGAGTAAGTTTGGTAATTTTTTTTAGAGATTTTTGAAATTTAGGTCAAAATTGAGTTGCGCTAACGAAGAAGGCGAATTTGTACTGTATACCAAAATGGCATAAAAGTATACCATTCTGGTATACATTCATCCCAACAGTATAATGTAATAGCACATCGTTTTACTTTGGTCCTTCTTAAAATTGTTGAAAATTTTCATTGGGTCCTCTTTTAACTTTTCAACAGAGTTCTCATATTTTTTTTTCTTAAGTCAAAAGATTTAGTTTTAATATTGATTGGAGGTTGTGGCTAAAGTTTGAGTCAATTTGGTGAAAATGCTAAAGTAGATTTTTAAAATTTAGGTTGAAATTGAGTTGAACTAGCGAAGAAGACTAGTTTGTAGTATATACTAAAATAACATTCTATATACCATTTGAACTAGCGAAAAAGATTGTACAATATACTAAAATAATATACTATATACCACATTGGTATGTAGTTCATTCCAACGGTATACTATATGATATAATAGTATACTATTATAATTTGGTCGTTTTAGAATTTTTTTTTTAAAATTTTTTTTAATTGAGTTCCTTTTCAACCTTTCAACGGAGTTTTCATATATATACTTTTTAATTTTTTTCTTAAACCAAAATATATAGTTTGAAATACTTGATTGGAGGTTGTGACTAACGTTTGAGTCAATTTATGGAAATTATGGAGTAGAATTTTAAAATTTGGGTTGAACTATTGAAAAAGACTAATTTGAATTATATACTAAAATAACATACAATATACCATTTGGTATATAATATTTAATTCGAAGAGTATAATGTTGTGTTGAATTGGCGAAGAAGAATCCGTATTGTATATCAAAATGATATATAGTATATCATTTTGGTATATAATTTATTCTAATGATATACTGTTACAGTATACTATATAATGTAACAGTAATATTACTATTTTATTATTTTAGAATTTTTTGAAAATTTTATTGATTTCCTTATCAACTTTTCAACAGAATTCTCATGTTTTTTCCAATATTTTTCTTAAAACAAAATATTTAGTTTGAAATATTTGAGTGGAGATTGTGGCTAAAGTTTGAGTTAATTTGGTGAAAATTCTAGAACGAATTTTTTAAATTTAGGTTGTAATTGAGTTGAGCTAGCGAAGGAGATCAATTTGTAAATATAACATACTATATACCATTTTGAAATATAATATTTAATTCAATAGTGTATAATTTATTGCAATAATATACTATCACAATATATGGTATAATATAACGATATAGTTAAATTTGGTATTTTTTTAAATTTTCAACAAAAAAAATCAATGGGTTCTTTTTAAATTTTCTAACAAGGTTCTCGATATCATATACCATGTCAGTATATGATATATAACATATGGGTGTCATAGTATACTGCAATAATATACCTCAAATGCTACTAATATATTATTTTTGATATACTATACGCTAAAGTAAGTTATTTTCTAATAATTGATATATAAAAATATAAATAAATAAAAATAATAAAAATAAAGGAGCAAAAAATGTGTGCAGAATTAGATTATGTAAAAAAAGAAAATAAAAATTGATTTGAAATAAAAAATATATATATAAAAGCATAAAAGAGAAGAGAAAATAGTTATAACGTATAAGTTATTCTAATAATTAAACAAAAAATTGTATATTATAGTTATATTAAAAAAAGGTGAATAAATATTTACTATATTAGTTATCTTTTCTTATTGTATAAAAAAAAGAAGAATAATAAAAAAGAGCAATAAAATAAAATAAATAAAATTAGACTATGGAGAGAAAAGAAGAAGAAAAGAAAAGAAAAAGGAATTAAAAGAAATTAGAAAAGGAACAATAAATAAAGAAAATAAAGGAGCAAAAATGTGTGCAGAATTAGATTATGTAAAAAAGAAAATAAAAATTGATTTGAAATAAAAAAAATATAAAAGCATAAAAGAGAAGAGAAAATAGTTATAACGTATAAGTTATTCTAATAATTAAACAAAAAAATATATATTATAGTTATATTAAAAAACAAGTGAACAAATATTTACTATTTAAGTTATCTTTCTTATTGTATAAAAAAAGAAGAATAATAAAAAAGAGCAAGAAAATAAAATAAATAAAATTAGACTATGAAGAGAAAAGAAGAAAAGAAGAAAAAAAGAGTTAAAAGAAATTAGAAAAGGAACAACAAATAAAGAAAATAAATAAAAGGAACAAAAATAAAAAATAAAAAATAAAAAAGGAGCCAAAATTGAGTGTGAAATTAAATTATGGTAATAATAATAATAATAATAATAATAATATAATAATAATAATAATAATAATAATAATAATATGATCTGGGTAGAGAAGGTCTCTCTTAACTCGTGCTCTCAACGCATGTTAGCTAAACATACGCCGGTGTGGCCATGGTAGGAGCGAGAGGTCGGGGACAAGGAAGAGGACGAAGACGACCTAGGAAAATACCTATAGTAGCTTTTGGGAGCCTCAGTTGGAGCTCGAATTCAAAGAGGTGGAACACCTAACATAACAACAATGGCTTCCCTTGTGCAATTGGCTGAGGAAATTAGATCTGTGGAGAAAGGATCTGCATCAACTACTGGAGGGATACCAAAGAAGCTGGGAATGACTGAGTCTATGAAGACTAATACCAAGGTGATACCACAGAAAACTACATAGGTGAAGGCAGTGCAAGGCAATGAAACAGTAATTCCAGTGAAAACTAATGAAACAGTGATGATGGGTTTTCAATATCTTAGCTTTATATTTTGATGATCTAACAAACTTACTGTCAAAAATCAGATAGGAAATCTAACACACTTGGTATATATTGCTAATCAACGGGCTCCAGCTAATGAGAATTGTTGCAACCTTAGAAGATAGAGAACCAACACATGGACCTGATCCTAGGGGTGTTCATGGTTCGGTTTGGATCATTTTTTCCCTAAAAAAAAACAAACCAAGTAAGTCGATTTTTCAAATATTAGAACCAAACCAATTAAGTCGGTATTTTCTCAATTCGGTTTATGTCGGGTTTTGTCGGTTTTTCATTTTTTCGGTTATTTGTCGGTTTTTTCTTAAATATAAGATATACACTACCAAACACATATTCCGGTGACCACATTTTCAATGTAACACTATCAAATCAATTGCCCTTTGAGAAATCTATTATTTACTAAGATATATTGATGATAATTGAATCAAATAGTGTTGAATAATTTAAGGACTCAATTAAAAATATATTTTTTTAACATGAAATGGATTCTTACACTTAATAAAAGAAAATTACCAATCAAACTAGAATGTAAAGGTAAAGAACTGTACTAAAAGTACAAACGATTAACATTCATCATAAATTTTTTGAAACTTGGTGTAAAAATATACATATATATAGGTGTAATAATAAATTTGAAATAACTACTCCTATAGTCGGTTTGGTTCGGTTTTTTTCGGTTATTTTGTGATCAAAACCAAAATCAAACCAAATTTGATCGGTTTTTAAAATTCAAAATCGAAACCAAACCAAACCAAAAAGTATCAGTTTTTTTGGTCTGTTTGGTTCGATTTTTCGAGTTTTTATGAACACCCCTACCTAATCCATTGTGTTTCCCTAACAGCAGTACGAAAGTCAACTTTGTACAGCTGGAAAGTGAATACCTCAAAAATAGTGCAGCACAATTCTGCAGTCACTTGTATTTTGACCAACCAAGTGCTTACATCATTCAAGTAATATCATTCAAGGTGTATTAACAAGATTATTACAACAAAACATCACTTGAATACTTGAGAATTCACTTCAAGCATTCAAGCCTTCCGAGACAGCGAATTTAATTCTCAAGTGCCTCAAGAACAAAGTTTAACGCTACTACAGACCAGTTCCTAAATCTAGTATTTTGTTGTCTTTAGTTGAGTTGTAACTTTGTAATTGTTCTTCATTGTAATTCTTAAATTGCTTAGCTAGAAGCGTTGCTTAGGAACTCCTTTGTAAAACCATAAACCATTTGTGTTTGTGTCGTGACTAGAGTTAGTCATGAGTTGAAGTCTTTGTAATAGGTGTATTACAAAGTGGCTTGTAATAGTTGTATTACAAGTTAGTGAGGGATTAAGAGTTTAATTCCTAGATTGCATAGGTTTTAATCTAAAAGTTGCTCATAGTGAAGTTGAAATCCTACCAGTGTAGGTCGTGATTTTTTATCCCATAGAGCAGGGATTTTTCCACGTAAAACTCCCTGTCTTATTTACTTACCGTTTTATTAGTATTCTCAGTGGAACTCATAGAGGACCTGGTACTTTATAGTTAGTGGACTCACACAAACTATCAAGTGATTCCATTGCAGAAATCAGCTGAGCGAGCAGAAGAAGCAACAAATCCGATGGGTGCATGGACAAATCTATTCAAAGGGAATAGATCTGCAACTAATGGCATGTCACTATCTTATATCCCACCACAATTTGTTAATGGCCAAACTGGGGTGCAATTGGAAGCGGAGGAAGTAGAACCAGAAGAAGAAAAGTGGAAATGTGCTCTAATTGCTTATATCATCGGAGAAACACCTAGGTACAACACTATGAACATGTATATTAGCCAAAATTGGCTGAATATAGATACACCAGAACTGTATTTGTATGATGAGGGATATTATGGGGTCTGATTCAATTCTATAACTGATATGCATGCTGTTTATTATGCTGGATCATACACCATCAGTAATCAACCCATAAATTTGAAGCCATGGTCAGAAGACTTTGATTTCAGCAAAGAATTTCCTAGTGAGATTCCACTGTGGGTTAAATTTCCTAATTTGCCTATGAATTGTTGGGGCAGTAAATCTTTGAGTAGAATAGCAAGTGTATTAGGAACTCCTGTGTTTGCAGATGAATGTACCACAAAGCAAACAAGGATATCCTTTGCGAGAATGTTGGTGGAAATAAATGTTAGTCGCCCACTTCCTGATGAAATTACAGTGATTGATCCAAAAGGGAAGTATTTCCAACAACATGTGATATACGATTGGAAACCTTATTTCTGTGGAGTGTATCAAGTAGTTAGGCACAAATGTAGGGAAAAGGAAAAAGGGGATAATCAAAAGGATGCTCAACATAAAAGAAATAGGAACAATAAACTGTTACACAAGAATGGAGATACAAAAGTCATGTGCAAACAACTCTAACAATTGGAGAGCAAGTAGAGCTAACCAAGAAAAACAAGCAATAGAGTCAGCAATTAAATGAGGAGAAGAGTATTACCCCTACTAGCAAAATAGAAAAGCAAGCAGAAAAGAGTAGAGGGAAAGCTATTGCAAGTCCAGAATTCACACTTCAAAATTTTCCCATAATATGTTATGTGCCAACAAAAAATAGTTTTGGAATTCTACATGGAGGTCATAGTGAAGATCAAGACTTGCCTCTAGATAGAGGGTAGGGGTCCAAAAATATATAAGGAATTGGTTAATTTGGAATGTTAGGGAAATAAATAAGAGATATAAACAAAAAAAGTTGAGGAATTATTTGAAAACAAAAAAAATAGACCAACAGGACTCATAGAAACAACAACAAAGGAGCACAATTCAAAGAAGATCAGCAACAAATAGTACCAAAATGGGAGATATATGATAACTACCAAGCTACAGTAAATGGTAGAATTTGGTTGGTTTGGGATCCACAATGGTGTGAAGTTATAATGGTGAGAGATGAAGCCCAAATATTGCATTGTGAAAACACAATTAAAATAGGAGATATTAACTGTTATCTTAATATAGTGTATGATTTTAACACTGTGGAGCACAAGAGAGCATTATGGGAGAATCTGAAAGATGTAGCTGTGGCCATGAATAAACCATGGCTTGTAGCTGGAGATTTTAATGCAGTAATGTATCAAGATGATAGGATGTTTGGCAATCCAATCCCTTATACTGAAGTTAAAGAATATTCTGAGTGCATGCATGAACTACTTGTCACAACCCAAAATCCGGACCCGATCATGATGGCGCCTCTCGTGAAGACAAGGCCAGCCGACACATTCCCATTCTAATTATTAAGCAATTAAAATAATAAGTATTAAGTCTTAAACATGATAAACTCCCAAAATAATATTTAGTGAACATTACAGTTTGCGGAAATCAAACCCAACATAGCCTGATACCGGGGTGTCACCAGTCATGAGCATCTATCTATATACTACAAGTCTGAAGTGTCTACAAAGCTATTACAAAATTACTAAAAGAGAAGGAAATGAGATAAATGGGGAGAAGCACTGGGCTGCGGATGCCGAGCAGCTACTTCGTGAACTCCGAAATCTGTCGGAGCTCTCAACCCTCGCAAGCAGGATCAACAGCGCCTGAATCTGCACACGGGGTGCAGGGAGTAAAGTGAGTACTCCAACTCAGTGAGTAATAATCATAAATAAAGGATGAGAAGTAAGAAATCACGTAAGGCACATAACAGGCTATAAAGAAGCAATAAAAGCCAGCAGAAATAGTGAAGCAGTAAAGATGTGTAAAGTCATTGAGTTCAGTTTAAACTTCCTAAAATGCATTTTTAACAATTAAGCAAGTAAATGACAGGCAATTAGGAAAGATAAACACATAAAATATCGTGCCCTCGGGCACAATGTCAACAAATCCGCCCCTCGGGCAATATCTCAGAACAATACTAGCCCCTCGGGCTATATCTCACATCACAATGGGTACCCGCGCTCACTGGGGGTGTGCAGACTACTGGAGGGGCCCTTTACGGCCCAAGCGCAATACCAAGCCATCTCGTGGCATCATCACTAGGCTCTAGGCCTTATATCAACAAGCCACCTCGTGGCGTACAAATCTCAGGCCCTCGGCCTTATAATCGTAATCAGTGTATCATTGTTGCGGCGTGCAGTCCTACCCAAAAGTATCCTCACAACACAGACCCTCGACCTTACTCAGTCAAAATCTCATAAGCCACTCGGGGCAACAGTAAAAGATGATGCTCAACCCCAAAAAATTATTTGAAATATCATTTAATATGTTAAAACAGAGTAAACATGGCTGAGTTATGAAAACAGTAGAATATAGAATGACTGAGTACAATTTAAAGTCAAAACAATGAGAAAATATCAGTAAAAATCTCATAAGGATTCAAATAGTTGGCACTTGGCCCAAATATGGCATTCAGCCCAAAACATGATGATAACAAATAGTTTTCAATCAAATACACGGTAAAACAATCATTCAGGATGGACTAAGTCACAATCCTCAACAGTTTACGACCCCACGCTCGTTATCTAGCGTGTGTGTCATCTCAATATAGCACAACGATGTGCAATCCAGGGTTTTATACCCTCAGGACAACATTTACAATCATTACTCACCTCGATCCGATCTAAACTCTAGCTCGCGATGCCTTTACCCTCACGAATCGACCTATGAATGCTCCAAATCTAGCCACAATCAATACATAACCATTAAAATATGCTAAGGGAATAAAGTCCACTCAAAAATATCTAATTTACATTAAAAATCCGAAATTGCTCTAACCCGGCCCCCGGGCCCATGTCTTGGAATCCGACAAAAATCATATCAATATAATCCTCTTCCTCCCACGAGTCTATACATATCAAGAACATCAAAATCGGACCTCAAATGGCCCCTCAAAACCCCACTCAAAGGTCTCTTAATCTCAAGCCCTAACCCCTTAATTTTCTTCCTTAATTTCCACTAATACCAAGATTAAACAATGGAAAAATTATCATAAACATGAGTAATAAAGCTCAGGGAACTTACCCAACTGATTCTCTTCGATTTCCTTTGAATTCACTGCCCAAGCTCGCTTCCGTCTTAAAAAATGGAAAACTTAGCAAAAATTCGCGAAGGAAACATTATATACTTTCTGACCCAGGTTTTCGCACTTGTGGTCCATTTCTCGCTACTGCAACCAAATCCACCGCATCTGCGATTTTTATTAAATTGCCAATTTCCGCATCTGCGGTTAAAAACTCGCACCTGCGCTACCGCAGGTGCGCCCACTTCACCGCTTCTGCGGTTCCTAAAGAACTTCCTCTTGGACGCATCTGCGGCTGCCTTCCGCTTCTGCGATCATCGCACCTGCGGCCTCCCAACCGCAGGTGCAGTTATGACAAAAACCAAATGCTTCAACTGCAAAAACTCAATTCTAAATTCTTCCGTCACCCATCTGGAATTACCCCGAGGCCCCCGGGACCTCAACCAAAAGTACAAACAAGTCACATACCACCATTCGAACTTGTACTTCAAAACACCTCAAACAACATCGAATCACCCAATATACATCGGATTCAAGTTGAAGCTTCCAAAATCTTTTGAATTACGCTGTCGATCAAAAAGTATACCAAATCACGTCCAAATGACATGAAATTTTGCACACACATCCCAAATTACACCAAAGAACTACTGCAACTTCCGAAATTCCATTCAGACCCCTATATCAAAATCTCACCTATCAACCGGAAAATGCCAAAATCTCAATTTTGCGAATTCAAGCCTAAACCTTCCACGGACCTCCAAAATGCATTCTGATCATGCTCCTAAGTCCCAAATCACCTAATGGAACTAACCAAATCATAAAAATTCTGATCCGAAATCATATACCAACAAGTCAAATCTTGGTCAAACCTTTCAAATTTCAAGCTTCAAAGTGAGAACTATTCTTCCAAATTCATTTCGATTATCCTGAAAACCAAAACCAACGATTTACATAAGTCATAATACACCACACGGGACTAGTCATGCCCGAGAACTGGCGAGCGAAGTGCAAAAGCTCAAAACGACCGGTCGGGTCGTTACCTATTCCCCCACTTAAACATACGTTCGTCCTCGAACGTGCCCAGATTTGTTCCGAAAACCATCAAATCGTTGTGTAACCTTACCATGCACATACCTGGGGGTGATCCCACGTCATCCTATCTCATATAGGTCTGATAATTCATTGTAACTGAAAGTTTACAATCCAACCTAGCCCATAAACCTTAGAACCACCTTTCCACTTCCGAAATAATCCACAAGATCAGAATCTCACATCTATACTCTGAATAAGCCCGAACAAGCTGTAATAACCCATACTTGCAACCTCAGGTGCAATTACATGATATACCACATAACTTAAACACATGTAGTGATAACTTCTAATTAAAGCAGCTGCATACAACAACCGAATACCGATAGAAAACCTCTTATCAACTAAAGCCTCACTCCAACTCTTTCATATACTGCCAATGATAAACGAAACACGCAGAAATCCATAACCACTTCTCACATCAACCATTCATGAAGCCACTTCTCCTTGGGCATAGACCATAGCAAATTTTTGAGCCGAACCTCGATATTATCTTTCCAACACGCTGAAACCAAATTCCGTTGGTATTTATTCTAGATCCCAATGATCACATCTAATCCAACACAACTACTCTGGTTACATGACACATCAATACCATCTAAATCCCCAACTTGTGCAATCCGCACACCGATAAGCAACAATCTGAACGTACTCAAATCATGAAGAATGACTCAAATGAGAGAGCTATACCGCAAGCTCACCAGTACCACCTTACACAATGCTGAGAACCCATCACACATCGTAGAAACAGAACACACGAATCCACACCGAAGGGTCATACCTCCATATAACTCTGCTACCAATGTGCGACCCTACCCAAGCACTGGTCCACATGAAACACCTCTAGTCACTATGCTCAAAGTCGACAATGACGCATAATTTGATGTCTAAAACCCAAGAAATCATCATAACCACTGTGAAGCAATTGACATAACATTACACAAACCCGAAAGGACATAACCGATATGCCATCCACCGAGCAATACCCAATCTTCTTTCCCATTCGACTTCCACTATGAAACCCCAATGGAAACGCTTCGTGTGTGCCTATAACCAACAAATCATAACGCCTCGCAACATAGAAAAGTAACTCATAGATCAACTCAGAGCACTGATAGCTCAATAACAACCGAATCAATACATCCCTCACCCATAGCAACTCGAAGTCAACAAAGTCGACTCAAGTTAGAACACGCATCCATATTGGCCTGCCAACGAACCCCTTATCAAGGAAGCCTCGAAGCTGCTCCTTCAACTACTTTAACTCTGTCGGTGCCATACGATATGGTGCCCGACATCAAATCAATACCGAAATCAACAACCCTGT